TATATATATATATATATATATATTAATCGAACAATGTACGCGACACTGTTCATTATTGAGGAATCTTTTCCATAAAATTTGTAGATATCATCATGATTTTGTTCTTCAAATATCTCTCGGTATTCTTGTAGATTGATACGAATAAAGTATTACTGTAAAACAAAATTACAATTTTGTGATTTAAGCTGTCTTTAAAAATTTTCTCAAAACCCAAAGCATTGTGGAGAGATTAATAAGTGATTGCGATAGCACAGAATCCACCAAACTTTCAAAATAAATGAGTGAATGACTGAATGGTGCTAACCATTATGGTTGGAGACATACCAGCAACTCTTTTTTTTGCAATCAACCCCCCACAAGTTAAAGACTTTACACTAAATTTCTTACCTTTTTCCTACAAAAGATCAGAAATACACAAACTTGGGTTGAAAGCGAATAGGATCATCAACACTCATTCATTTATCTCCACCACTTTTCTCTATCTCTTTCTCTCTCTTCAAATGTCATATTCTGCCATATACTTCCTACAAGGACGCAAGAAACAAATGCTTTCACCCCATCTGTTCAAGGGGTGATTATAGCCCTCCACTCCTTACTGCCTCCTCATAGAGCTAGCTCCAATTCCATTCTCTACTCAAGTCCCCTTCGTCCCTCTCCCAACTCTCTTCTTCTCCCACATCATTCTCAGCAACAGAAAAGCAGCACAACAATCAACACTAAAGAAGCCAAGTAGCTAGCTAGCATATTCTTAAACCAGAGCAAACAGAACAAAGTAAGAAAAGGAGCAAAAGAGAAGTGTGTGCGCGTGTGAAGAGGTAGACAGAGAGGGTCTTCTCCTTGTCCTTTTGATCCCGAAGAACCTAAACAATGGAGTTGTTTTCCGCTCAACCAGACCTTTCACTGCAGATAAGCCCTCCAAACAGCAGCAAACCGAGCACAAGATGCAACAGCAGCTCAGCAGAAGACACAATTGACTTTGGATTTTGGAGGAGACCCGCTGTCGCCACACCTATTCTGCCGGTAAAATCCCCCTCCGGTGCGGGAACCATTAGCTTCGTCGACCTTTCACTCACAAGTCCCTCTCCCTCAACCACCACTACCTCACGCCATCCTTTACTCAATGAATCCCATCACCAAGATCTCACCTTTCTACGCCCCATTCGTGGTATACCAGTCTACCATACCTCTCCTTCCTTCCCTTTTCCTCTTCCTCACCATCTCCACCTCTTCGACTCCTCACGCTCGCCTTCAAGGTTTCTTCCCCGGTTTCCAGCAAAGAGGAGCATGAGAGGACCCAGGATGCGGTGGACTTCCACTCTCCATGCTCGCTTCGTTCATGCCGTTGAGCTCCTCGGTGGCCATGAAAGTAAGTTCTACAAAAAAAAAAACAAAAGGATTTTCTTACTTGCCTTTTTGTGATATGTTTTTATTTGGGATCATAGGGGCGACTCCAAAATCGGTTCTTGAGCTTATGGATGTGAAAGATCTCACCTTGGCTCATGTGAAATCGCACTTGCAGGTAGGATCGAGGAGGTTTCGTATTTTGCTTTCTTTTCTCTTTTGAATCCTTGCGTTTGGAGCTTCTTGTTTTTTTTTTCCTTCTCTTGACTAGGTTTCTAGCTGATTGCCTTTTGTTTTATTGCATGTTTTGTTTATTATTGCTGTTTTGGCTCTTTGTCAAAGTAAAATCACACCTGCAACCTAACCTGTGATATTCTTGGCTTAAGACATACAAGCATTTATAAAAAAAAATGCCTTTTTTACAAAGAAATATTAGAGTTTTGCTCCCATTTTCTTTTTCTTTGTTTTATTTATGCCATTGATGGGCACTTCTTCCTCTCTCTCTCTTTCTCTCTCAATCTCTCTGTCCCAGAACCTTAATCTCTCCTCGACATAGAGAGCTGTGGGCTCCAAGAGTCAGGAGCAGCTTTTCCTTGTGAAGCAGAAAGCATCCCCTTGAAGGTAAAAAGAGGGAAGAAAATGCTGCAAAATTCACTGCTTAACGAAGACCACAGCTTAAAGATAACCTAATTAAGTACGAACATGCATCATTACACAATTATTTAGCTACCTACGCCTATAATCCTAGATGATAGCATTTATGATAAATGCATGTAAAGCTGCAAGCCCAGATGGCTTCTTTTTTATGTTAAACAAATAGTGGTAACATAAACTACATGTCCATGACAAAAAGCTCTATTCTAAATGACAATATGATGTATAAATTTAAAGACAAAAAACTTAAATTTTCACTACCTTTCATTAATTAATAATCCAAAAAGATTTGCCATTTTTTTGTCCTGCTTGTATTTATAATTTAACAATGTTCTGAAATTTTCATGCACGTTGCAGATGTATCGAACTGTCAAGACCACTGATAAGGCAGCAACTTCATCAGGTTCTCCAGAAAAACTTTGGCTTGTTTAAATTTTTTCTTTTGTAAGATATTTTCTTGAATTTTATTAGAAAATAAATTTTCATTGTAAAAAATTATTTATTTATAACTATTATGAATATTATTTTCTTGGAAAATCTAGTAAAATATAAAGAGTTGATTTTCAGTTGCAAAAACATGGCTTTTATGTTTTAACATTCCACCAATTTGATTTGATAAATTATTATAGTATTTATAAAGTTCTCTTAGATAAGTTTTATTATATTGTTATATAGGACAAAGTGAGCCCATTGAGATCTCCGACGACAACTTGTTTGATACTAACAATTCCCAGGGATCAGATCACTCTTCAGTTCAGAACTTTTGGTCAGCAGATCAAAATTGCACGAATTCTTATGGATTATGGAGCAGTTCCCCAAGGTAAAATCATTTTTCTTAAATTCGGCTATTAAAAATTTAACTACGTCTGCACAAATCTCAAGGTGTTGCTCCACAACTTTTTCAGCTTAATTAAATATTAAGAATTTGTTCGATCTATTTTTTGAAGCATATATAAAACTTAGATGTGTGTGAAGCCATAATGTCACAAAGTTAACTTTCTATTATCTTAATGATATTTGTGTCTTATAATTCAAAAATGTCAAATAACATATTCGATTTATTGGGAAATGCTAAACACTTCTCTTCACATCAAGGTTGCTTTACATACTTTTTATAACAAGAAAACTTCACATAGATTTGTTAATATGGATAAAGTTTTATTGATATTAATACTATAATGTTAACATAATACAAGATCAAAAGTAGCACTAATTTAAATAATTAGAACTTAAACTCATTATCTCTGATTTTGGTGAACATAGAAAGTGGTTCTCACCAATCAACAGTCATATCTAGTTCTTCTAGAACAGCCAATATCTTAAACAAAGCATAAACACAAAGCAGATGCACAGCCATAGTTAATTAGGAAGAAAAGAATAATCTCTCAAAAAAAAAAAAAACAGTTTTCCACTAGAACCAGTAATAAATAAAAAAAGCCATAGTTAATTAGGAAGAAAAGAATAATCTCTCTCAAAAAAAAAAAAAATTAACAGTTTTCCACTAGAACCAGTAATAAATAAAAACATATAGCCTCCAAAGCACCTGACATTAGCTAAATGTAAATCCTCATCAGACTTATGAATGCTTTTTTTAAGTATAAAAGGCTTTCCACATTCTCCTCATACCCTTTCTCAAAATTTAAAAATAATCTCCATGCAAGTGCTCACAAAAGGCAATAAGTATCATAGCTTTGTTCCATCTGTTCAGAATCAGGTAGGCAATGCAGACCTCTATGATGGTGCAATTTTCCTTTTTGTAGTGGTTCAAGAAAAAAAAAAAAGATCAAGAATCCTATCTATCTCATCTCCCACTTCAAGAAACAAGCACTTTTTATAAAGTCTACATAAAATGAGCTATCATTTTTTCTTCTCTCTACCTTTGGAATTTTGTTGGTATCTATAAGCTTGCAAATTGGTCCTTAGCTACCATAGTACTATGATGCTGAAACCTTAGCAAAAAAAGACTATAAATTTTTGAAACCTCTTTGTGGTTTCTTTTTATGGATAATGGCATATCACATGGGATTGCAACTTTTTCCTTTTTTTTTTTGGATAAATTTGCATACTTATATCACACAATTCTTATGTATTTGTATATCTCCGTATAACTATACTTTAATATTTACATACATAGCACTTAGGTGTTTTTAAAAAAAAGGGTTATAGTGCTATTTTGATGTGATATGAAGGATTCAAGGGCTATGAGTGTAAATTTGAAAGACTAGGTGTGAGATATGTTAGTACATAACAATTGTGTGCTATATATGTAAATGTTTACTATTTTTATGTCAGTAAGTAATTTAATTGACTATTTTGATTTTGATGTATGTAAATGTGACTAGAGTTATACTCTAAAAGTTAGTTTAATACAAAAATTAATAGTGATGTCTGTTTATTTTATATAAGCACAATTGTTGTCAATTTGATGAATACGCATGCTCTCTTTGATTCTATCATTTTTTAGTTATCAGAAGTAACTCAAACTTCTAATGACTAGACCATAATTTTATTATGAATATTGTATGCTAAAAGGATAAAATGTTAGTGCTCTGAGATGTATATTTTTATATTTATTTTTAATTATACAACACAAAATTGTAGAAATAGAAACTATATTTATGTACTTTCTACATGTTTTGGAATGAAATCCGAACATTTCCAAGCACTTGCATAAAAAAGAGGACTCTTTGAGAAGAAGGCTGCATCCCTCCTTTATTTGCTATTATTGTTTTATTCCATATTTTGCATGACTTTTCGAAGTCAGAAATTAATCAAACTCTCAATGTTATTTGATATGCTCTCTATAGTAAGGGAGGCTATTACCAGGACAAGCCAAAGGAATCAGCCATTGGAACCATGTCTTGCTTTGAGGTGCAGAATTTAAACTAACTCCCATTATTTTTGTCCAACAAATTTATAAGAAAATAATGTGCTAGTATTTTTTTTTTTTCTCATGTTGCAGAACAAAATACATGCAAGAAGCTTGAATATGATATCAGATCTCAACTCGTCTTATCTCTCAGAGAATAGCTCAAAGAAGCTCAATCTTGACTTCACTTTGGGAAGGTCATAGTGAACAAATTTTGCATGAAAAAGCTGCAATTTTGATGAAAAGAAGACGGTCCTTTGGTTTTTTGTCTCAGAAAATATAAAAAAAGAGAGGATGACAATGAAAAAATGAGTCAGAAAGTGAATGAAAGGAAAGTGAAGAGAGAGAGAGAGATGAAGAAAATGTAAAATCAAAGAGCCTAAAGGCTGTGTTTTATGTCTTTTTGATTGCAAATTGCCAGTTAGAGAGTGATATAGAGTCAGTAAAAGAGAAAAGAGGAGAAGGTCTTAACTTTAAGATTTGTAAAGCACAAAAGAGCATTAGATTGGTAGCAATCTCATGTGCACGATGCTTTGCCCTGTAGCTTCCCAACAAAGAGTAAAGGTTAGGAGCTAAGTGCTAGGAAATTGTAGTTTATACATTTGGATTAATTTAGTGTATTTTACAGAGGTGCACTTGGTATCTCACATTACTTCAATCATTAGCATCTCAAACTCTTATATAGCAATATTAATCTACATTAACCTAATAATGTCTATTAATTTGATTGTTTTGATTTAAGTTTCAAGGTTATTGTTGCATGGAAATGATTGAAGTATAATTTACAGAGAAGTACATGATATTATTGAATTGGAATGATTGAAAAAATAATTTCAAATATGAATACTCATAGAAGAGAGGAATGTGGGCCATGAAAGCTAGGAAGTTAAAGCTATTATGATTAGAATCCCTTGTGCTTGGTTTTACTATAGTAAAATATTATCCCTAATTTTTGTTATTTTAACCTAATTGAGATGCACATAATAAGTCTACATAACATTAAAAAATGGTATAAATTATATAAATCTGAAAAACATACTCTAGATTAAAGACCTTATAAAGTACGACATTGTGTAATAAACAATTTTATTAATGAAAATTATTTTCATTTTAAGAAAGTAGATCTCCCACCAAATGTGAAATAAAACGCAGATTCTCAATATGCTAGCATTGCTCATTGTTTTCAACTTGATCAATGTTTTGGATTAATGTGTGTTTGGCGAATGGTAAAATGGATTTACAAATCCCTTTTAAGAAACGGTTTTGAAGATTTTTTTTTCTTTGATTAAATTTCAACTTGTTATAATATTTTATTATCACTACTGAAAAATATCCATTTTGTGAAAAAAATCACATCATTTGCTCATTTGTGATAGAGATTTCTTGCTCAATTTTTCATCTATGTTACCAACTTTGTGATAGAGGACGACTCACTACAGGAATTTAGTCTATTTCTGATAGTCAGTATGTTACTGATTTTTTTATTGTTTATATGGCGTAGCAAAAGTGCTAGTCAGTTATTAAAAATCCGGCAAAAAATCTGATGTCTAATATTTATTGGCAGACTTTTGACATGATATGACAATCAATTTTTATCAAAAATTGTTTGTAAGATGCCCGTTTCTCGATTTTTAATTACTGACAGTTAAAATCATTAGTAATATCCATTGATTTGACATCAGTCAACTGCCGGCAATAATCGATTAGTTAATCGTAACTAGGAGCAGACATCATTTTCTTATTGCAGTGAAGGTCGTCGCTTAGGCTTCAGAATTATAACCGATGAGGTAACTGTCGATAAGCTGGAACATATGTTGGTTTTTTGTCCCTGTTAAAACAATCGAACCTATGTCAATTAGACGTTGATATTATAATCAGAGGCTTTTACCATCAGATAATACGACAACAGTTCAATATATCATCAAAAGACCAACAGAAAGTCGTCGGAAACCTATAGCATCAGAAAAAACATATATCTCCTCTTTGATAGTATTGTCAATAAAATTTGCTACACTTTACAAATAAATTCATTTGCCAGTTAGTAAATAATAATTATACCACCATCACTGCTCACATTCTAGGCAGATCCCTCTACTTCTGTAAATCTAGATGTGCAATTATACGTCATGCGACGTATGCACATTAAGTCTGATAGAGATACATAAGTAATTTAGATAATAATACAATGCACTATGTTTTTTATTTGGTTATATAACTACTAATAATTTCTTTCATGCATTTTCCATCCAAGCAAGACATTCACTTTATTAGAGATCATTAATAATTATGACGCACCATACTTATTCTGAAAGGAGATTCTGATTAAAGTCAAAGATATGTGATTTAGAGAATTTGAAGTAAACCCAAAGTAAAAAATCTTAATTTGCATAACTATACCCATCTAATTGATTAATACTTTTGATGCAGAAGAATTTCTCTTGGTTTCTTGAGCAACATAAGTACATCAAGCTTAATTTTTAGATTAGAGGGACCAGTGGCTTACACAATATATTCACTGATATATGCAAGACAATAAGAGATCTACATGATTTGGGGAGGACATTTAGATTTATTTGTGTAGGGCCTAGACCTCTCTTAACTATATCGGGAAGAAGGAGCAAGTGAATCATAATGGGGATAGATTCAGAATGTGGGGGTATGAGCACTTCCCTATGCACTAAAGGCTTGGTCCTACATACTGAGTATAAGAGGAGGCTGACAAGAGTTACTTGGTGCTTTATATTTTAGTGGTTATGTTTTAGCTAATATTTTTTTGCATATTTAAAGAGTCAACTACTTAAATGAGAGATCAACCACCTCAACTAAGCTAAATGCTTGTACACATCAACAACATCAAGAGGACCACCGGTGGGTCAACATCAGATCTCAAAATGCTTGTGAAAGTGGCATATTAATATATATATATATATATATATATATTATTCTGCATCTAAATATTCCTTATATTTTTTTTTTGAAGGAGTACTTGTGGATGAAGGATGTTCAGGGTAAGAGCTCAGAAGGAGCTCTTAGCTCTAGTGGCTAGTTTGAACACTTAAATTTTAATATTTGGAGAAAAACTACTAAGGGTAAGAAGAAGGGAAGAATCTAAGAAATGGGTTCACAGTAACTCACATACAGTGCACATCACTCCTTCTATGAGAGCTCCACATCCATTGATGTTGAATTTTGCAACCACGTTATATCATTCATTCAGGACATTGAGGCTCGATTCACCATTTAGCTCAACTGAGATGTAGGTGAGGATGAAGATCAAACTAGAGGAAGTGAGATGTGGGGCACGTCAGCAAAGGAAGCAACCAATGAGGCGTAGGACAACAAGGAGGATCAAAATAAGGAGACCAATGAGGAGTAGATACATGGATTTATTATTTGATCACTACTCTTATTTCTATGGGATATTTATTTTTATCTATTTTTTTTCTTGAGACATTTATGTATCAATTATTTCATTTGTTATGGTGTAATCCAGTATCATTGTATGTATGTCATTTTCAGATGTATTTATATGATTCTACATTATTCTGAAATAGTATAGTTACATTTTGGGTTGTGCTTACAAGAATATAAATTTTATTGGGCCAGGGCTATATTTTTTTATAAGAGGATGTCAAGGAACAATTGTTGGTTTTTTTCTCCAATTTTAGAAATATTGATAGACTTCATGATTGATTTGTCAATAAGTTGCATAATAATACACCAAAATAATATGTTGTTTTAAGTAAATGATTTATGCTTATTTTTTGTGATATTGTACTTTAAAGAAGGGTATTTTCATTTTTTTATTGCTGGTTTATAAATTTTAGGCATTTTGAGCAAAAGTAGCAAAAAGAACGAAATTTGGAGTCAAAACAATGAATTTTGGTATTCTGGCACCTGAAGCGCCACTTTACATAGAGCTTGCATCTGAAGTGTCAGAATTGGTGGGAAGCGCCACTTTACATAGAGCTTGCATCTGAAGTGCCAGAATTGGCGGCTGAAGAGCCATTTGACAGAGAGCTCGCATGACAGAGAGCTGGCGCTTGAAGCGCCATATTTGGCACCTGAAGCGCCAAAACCCAGGACAACGCGGTCTTAAGCAGGATGGCGCCTGAAGCGCCAGAGATGAATTTTTGTTGATTAAGGCAGTTCGGGATGAATTTTGCGTGAATTTCAAAATGGACACTTATTCTAAACATCACATGAAGTGATTCAATGCATCTAGACACTTTGGAAGGTTCTTTTATGAAGAGATATGTCTCTTGGGTCAATAGACATATCTTTTGAATTCAAAAGAGTTGACTTTTGGATATAATTTTGGAGGGAATTTTGAATTCATTTTAGAGGGAGACAACCTCTAATAAAAGAGAGGGAATTCTACGGCTTGAAAAAAAGGAGAGGCGTGTGAGGGAATTTCGAAGAATGCAATAGAGAGAGAGAGGGAGAAAGACAATGGCTTGGAGATTTTCTTCAAGGATTATAAGAAGAGAGAGAATGTGAGAGATTTCTTCTTCATAACTTTTTTAAGAGAGAGAATTGAGGGTGCTTGTAAAGAGGGAAAGTGCTTGAAGAGAACTTATAGGGAATTGTTTGGGAATGATTGTGAGATAAGTTGTGTTCTTTTATTTCTTTATTTTGTAAACTTATTTTTATATATTAAATTCGTGTTTTGTCGTATCCTTCTCATGAATTATGAGTAGTCTTTTTTATTCTTCTCTCTACAATGAGATTTGATTTTGTGAATAATTGATTTTATTTTATATGATTTTAAATGTCAAAAATTTGTGATAATTTGAACTCTGATCTTCATTTACTTTTCAATTTAGCCAATTGAAATGTTAAAATGTGTTGAGAAACACAAGTTCCAAAAAGGCTATGATTTTTACAACATACCGATAACACATTTGATTCCATGGGAGAGGATGTCATCCATGGGGTTGAGTGTAAATAAATCGGGAAATATACTTTGTTGGATACAGAATTGGAGATTTTAAGGTGACAGATTAAAATCTCTAATTTGGTCCAGTTGATTGAAAACTAATGTGAGATTGTTAGCCCTCAGGTGAGGGAGTAGTAAGAGCTCTAGAGTGACATTAAGTATCCTCCCAGCCTAACCACAGAATAACGGACCAACC